CTACCAGATCGTACCTGATTAATCGGATAAAATGTGACAGATTGGAAATTTGGCAAAAAAACCCGAAAATTTTCACATGCCCAAAACCCAAAGCTCCCTCTCAAAAAATCATGCGAACCTCTACAACGGAACCTCCAACCTCCAGCAAGATCTAATCATCAACCTGAAACGCATATTTACTTTATCCATCCTATTTTCCAAAAGAACACATCTTGAGAGCGGCACTCGTGCCCGCTAAAATTACCATGCTTTCGACTCTCACAAAAAAAGGATACTTAGTCGAAGCGCCTTTTCCATACTAATAGTAAATCGTCTTGTATAGCATGGAACGCTAATTCCAAATCTGCTTCATGTGTCCGCAAAGCACTTCTGGGAAGGGAAGTGTGGAAATTTTGTAATGTAAAAAGTCAAGGATTTGGCTAAGGTAAAACAGATGCTAAGGTCTTTCTGGCGCATGAAACGAGTCATGACTGGCATGAGTTTATTATTATGCCAACACGTTTCGGACCGCGAAATCGCGCGCGGCGAAAAAGAGGGTACTTTCAGCCGTTAGCCAACAAAGGGACCTTAATTCGTTGATTATGTGCTACAAATGTTATCAGCATGTCAGATAAGATCCATACCCAGAGTTCTGAGTGAATTCGAAGTGTTTGAATTTCGTCGTCTGAGAAGGACTTCTATGCTTTCTTAAAAGGTAGGAAGAAGAACTCAGTTTCTAATTGTATCCAAAAGTATCTATGTTGTACACGATACACATTATTATTGAAACTACGGTTTTTTTCTCTTTGTATTCAAAGTTAAGAAAAGTTGCGACGTCGCACGCGTCGTTCGCGTTGCCGCACTTCGTTGCAACTGGTGTTCGATGTGTCCTTATATCTCCTGAACAAATATCGATGGCACAGCTCTACAGAACCTTTCGAAAAGTAGGAGATTAGGCCTTTAACTTGATAACCTTGGACAAAAAGAAAACCTCCTGTAAACGTTGAAAAGATCCTTCAAATGTGCGTGCTGCACCATGTGCAGCACTGGTCCGAAACGTGTTAAACTGAAGGTATTTGTTGCATAAAGCGCTCTGAAAGTAATCGCAGCCCACTTAAACTCAAGGATTGCAGCTCTAAATGCTTTATTGTAGCGCCGCGTCCAAGTTTTTGCACATCAGAAAATTATAGTTATTTTCCTCCAGAAGCACTTTGCAGATACCGTAAGCAGAGTTAAAAACAATGTTCCATGCTCTATAGCATAGTATAAAATTCATATGGAAACGCCACTTCTATAGAGCATCCTTCCCTTGTTAAGTCCTTAGAGGAGAAGCATGAAAGGCCAATGCGGTAAAACTTCATACCCAGTACACAAGTGTGAGATAAGTTGGCGGTAAAAGCAATCTGAGTAAACGCGTTTCAAATCGTTTTTTTAAAATATACTACACTCAGCGCCAGTGTTTTGCGAAGTTACGAAAGTACGCAAAAGACAAAAGTTGAGATCCGGTGTCCCTCGTGCTAGACCCAGTCGATGAAAATTCCTGTTAAAAAACAAAAATAAGCAATAAACACAAAAAGAAGACTAATTTAGAATTTTTTGCGTCTTTTTCTTACCGGAAAAACCAAAAATATCTCGCAAACACTGTTGCACCAACTCACACCAAACGTGGAATTCCTTGAGAATTCTACTTTTGCAAGTGTGGGTTGGTACAGAATAAACAACAACAAAAGGGCTTTGAACAAGCTTCTAACTGCTTTTCAAAAAAATTATTGCGAAATTGATTGTGGTGCTAAGTGATGTGACTAAATTCAACACAGGCACTGCATAATAATAATAGTTCGAGAAAAATTAAACGGGACAGTGATGAAGGCATCTGTATCTGTTTTTTTTTGTTGCAAAAATCTGCATATTTGCCATGACACTTGTACTTACTTTCAGGAATTTGTAATAAATTCAACTGTAACACACTAAGGACCGCATGTATTAACATCTCCAGCAGGAAGGGAATCGCAGCTTAACAGAAAGCTTCATATCGTGAAGCTACGAACTTCTAGATTTTACGTTGTTTAGCTATCCGTAAGTATTCCTACCATCCTTCACTATGAATTGGTGGCGGACCGAGGGGGGGGGGGGTGTAGAGGGGGGCGTCCCCCCCTCCCCCCCGCCCTGAGAACGGCTCGCGAAATTTTTGAAACTTACCTACATGGGTCATGAGAATGTGCGAATGAATTGTTTATTTTTGTAAATAATTAAAATAATTTACTTTTCAAAAATTGACTAGCCTTGTAAAAAAAATTTTTCGGAAGCGCGGCTGACGCCACGCCCCCTTTTTCTAGATTTTAGGGGTTTGAGCCCAAAAAAATTTCAAGAAGCATCCCAAAAATTTTTTTGCAGTGCGTTTTCCACGCCCTCCCTCCGGACGGAAATCCTGGAACCGCCACTGCTATGAGCATGTAGAACAGGAGCGAAAAGCTGTACAAGCCGCATTTTGCAGCTTTTATATGATCCTTTGATGATCCCCGGGTGCCCACAGTCTTTTCTTCAAAGTCGTTTTTCTTTCTTGGATATTAGCGAAAACCTTCCAAAGTTATACAGATTATTTAACCTAGCAGTGTTAAGCATGTTGTTGATAAGAAACAAACAACGAGTTTCCGAAAATTCGAATTTTTCGATAAACGCCAACTTTCGATTTATGGTTCATCGCAAAGTTTATGATTATAACAGATCATTTGTTCCTGTCAGCAAAATGCTTACATTATTTCAAATATAATTCCTGCATATATATGTTTTTTATCTGCCAAGCGAATATCTTGGAGGTGTTATGAGCGCTTGAATGTGCGATTTGTCAAGTGTTCTGTGGCGCTTGTTCCACGAAGTAGGTTTCAAAAGCACGTAACTAGATTTTTGGTGAATGTGCTTCTTCCTTGTAACTAAATCCGCGCCATCACGCTACCTTTCAACGAAATATATTCGTCGAAACTCAAAGTATTTCTCGTATTTGAACGCTATAACTCCGTCTAAATAGCCCCTTGGCAGGTGAAAAAACATGTATTTGTGTTTAGCTTTGAGACTTCCGATGTTATACAGCTTGTTTGGAATGGTTCGGTTACGTTCTGATTAGTTCCTTTTCAGCACGGTTAGATTAGATAATCTGTACAACTTTGGAAGCTTTTTGTTAGCTTCGGAAAAGGAAAAAGATCATCGGGGATCATGCAAAAAGCTGGAAAAGGCGCTTGTGCAGCTTCTAGCTCCGGTCCTATATGTTCGTAGCTGTGGCGCACGCAGGAATTCCGTTTGGCGGGAGGGGTGGGGGGAGGGTGGGGGGGAGGAGGGGGGCAGCGCGACAAAAAATTCTCTGATGAAAGTGCGTGGCGTCAGCCACGTTTCCGAAAAAATTTTTTTCATAAGGCTAAATCGAATTTCCAAAAAATTTTCAAATTATTTCAATTACTTGCAAGTATAAGCAAGTCACTTGCACATTTTATAACTCAAGTAAGTAAATTTCGGAAATATCGCGACCTATTCTTGGGGGGGGGGGAAGACAGCCCCCCCCCCTTCGAGAATAGGTCGTGAAAGTTCTCGGTAATGAAGGATCGTAGGAATGCTTAAGGATAGATAGACATGCGGAATCTAGATGTTCGGAGCTTCAGGATATGAGCTTTCTGCTAAGTGCGGTCTCCTCCCCAAGGGATGATGCATGCGGCCCTAAGAGACATTGGCATGTGCGCGGAAATTTCAAAAAAACGGAAGCAATATAACAGATATGCAGATTCAGGCAATTTGAAGCTAGTTGGCGTGAACATCAAACGAAAGTCCTTAGATTCACATATTTGCATGAAACCTTGGGGCCATGCGACTGACTGGCGCCATAAGCTCGACTTTACCAGCGCGCTGCATAAGCGATAAGCAACTTCATTTTCTCGACAGCTGTGACTGATCGTGGATAAATCAGATTATACATCGAACATAGTTCAAATATTAAATCGTTTCATAAGTCCGTAAAGTTTTCATTTTTGTAGCCGTTTCTTGATGAAACAGTTGTTTTACGTCAAAATACCTGTACCGTTCAAAAGTGTCAATCTTGCTCCGCAAGAACCATTGTTCGTTTTCGGAGCGAATCTAAATTCCTTTGATCTATAGACTCTCAAAGCAAGTTTTTTTGAGAGGCAAAAATTGGCGATTTCGGCAACTGCACCTTCGCAATTTGGCCCGTATCCCGCAAACTATTATTGTCATATGTAAGCGGAACGGTCAGTAGCAAGCAAGGCTGGTAAACTGACAAATTTGAAGCATGCTAGTATGCTCAGAACCGTTTGAACAAGGTCTCACTAGTTGTTGTCTTTGACTGTTGCAGCTTGAGTTTTGCGGTTGTTTAGCAACAGTATGTGTCGGTCCTCTCATCAGGCCTTAAGAAATGGATGGGTTTTTCTAGATGGTGTAGACTTATGAGTATAAGCTCTGGCCAACATTTTACGCTCTCTTTTTGTAATTCTACAAAATATTTTTTCTCTGATACCGTAACAACACATAGCCTGCTTACGTATTCCACATAGTGAAACAGTCCCCCACGCAGATGTTCGCAGAAGTCATTATGTATTCCATCCGCGAGAATAACGCGCATTGGTTTAATTTTACCGTACTTGCACAGTTTTGTGCGTTAGTTATGAATCATCTAGCCTAATTTCGCTTTCTTTGAATTCTGTATTATACTTAAATCATTAATTCCTCAGCAACCATCCCTCGCATTAACGTAGACATTGTCCATATAAAAAGACCCCTTTTACCATGTATTTTGGGCTTTTTCCTACGAAATAAATCTTTATCGTTACCTCGTCACCTCACATCCGAAGGACCTGGTCTCCAAACAGTGGCGACCCTGGCAGGACCCCTCTACACGACTGAGAAGCCACCCACGCACCTTGACGGCTTCACGACTGAGAAGCAACCCACGCACCTTGATCGAAACAAGCCAACCTTTAGAGAAGAAGCAACCAAACGCACGTTTTCTCTAAACTGCAGCTATGTCTAATAGCAGTGCCAATATCCGACGACAGATAGGCTTCTTCAAGAAGCAATTGCAAAAATTCTGTTCTGAGGCAACCGATTCACTGAGGGAATATGATATTTCACCAACTGCTCCACGACTCGAGGCTCTTGACGATGATGCAATCGAAACCTTCCGCCTGGAACTCACCACCATCCGTTCCAACCTGCTCAAGAACTATGCCAAAATCACAAAACTGGACGAGGAATGGAATACACTCCAACAAGCCAACCCCGAAGAACAGCAGGTACTAGCTGAATACATCAAAAAATATGGAGATTATCATGACAGTATCGCTGATGCCGTAAAACAACTGGAAGTGCTTGACGTTCTTTTGAATTCTATTGATCAAGAGTTTGCACGCCGTCGTCTGCCTGCTTCCTCTATTTCGTCTGAAACTCATACTCCAGATGAGGACCAACTTTGGAATCGCGGTACGCTCCATACTTCTACCATCCCTCAAATCTCGGATGCATCTCTATCGAACTTTGTCGACGCCTCCATTCTATCCAAGCTCGAGCTGCCCACCTTTGATGGAAACCTTCTCGATTACCCAGAATTTCAGTCTAGATTCGCTACCTTAGTGGGAAACAAACTCCAGCTGGATGACACCACCAAGTTTTCTCTCCTGAAATCATGTTTGCGAGGCAAAGCACTGCACGTCATCCAGGGTTTATCCATAACTCCTGCCAATTACAAGGTGGCAATGGATATCCTTCGCACACACTTTGACGATAAAGTCACCTTAAAACACATTCTGTACACAAAGCTAGCCTCACTTCCAGCCTGCGATCTCGAGGGCAAAAATCTTCTCTCTCTTTATAACCAGATGTACTCGCTTGTTCGACAGTTCTGCAATGGCACCGATGATTCAAGCGAAAAGGCCCTCGGAGCCCTCCTCCTGAATATGCTCCCTCCCCACGTCAGAAGTCAAATTTACGACCGGACTCAACACGATCACAATGTTTCTCCCACGGAGCTCCTGCACCTACTCACGAACATAGTACGCAAAGAATCCACGCTTTCTGAAATGAATTTTTACTCGAAACAACAACATCCAAGCTTTCATCAAGGAGCGTATGTAGCCAATAAGCAGTCTCAATCCACTCGTCTCAAACCCACTGGCACAAGGCATCCGCAAAATTGTTCATTTTGCAACTCTAGCAATCACTCGTCTCTGAACTGCCCGAAATACGCTACCCCTCGACAACGTTCTGAAGAAGCACGAAAACGGCGGCTCTGTTATAATTGTCTTTCTCCTCATCACACACGAGAGATTGTCCGTCAAAATTTCGTTGCAGGATATGCGCGAGGAAACACCATACTTCACTTTGCACATCCTCAAGGTCACAATCCCCTTCCCGTCCAACACAACCCACTTCGCGTCAAGACACCCATCGCGGGAGAAAAGAGTATACTCGACATTCAATTCCTCGTCCAGAAATTCAACATGGCAAGCCATATTCTCCTAACACTTCTCCATCAAGACGTCATAATCGCACTGTCCACTTCGACCTCGCTCACTCTGCAATCATTGACAATCAACCATCGTCAGAAACAGAACAATCGGTACCCACAATTTCCTCAGAAGACACTTTAACCAACGTCACCTTTATGTCGAATGAAACCTCCAACCGACCAATCCCCTTGATGTGTGCTGAAGTCAAGCTGTTCAATCCCGATGATTCATCGCATCATGTCACCGTAACCGCCTTTCTTGATTCTGGTTCTAGCATTTCCTATATCACGGATGAACTGGCGACTATTCTTGATCTACCTGATGTCACAACCGAGACAGTTACTGTTTCGACCTTTGGAGAAAGGACGCCACGAAGAATGAAATGCTCGGTTTACAGAGTGGGGATAGAAACCGAGAATGGTGCCAAATGTTTGACGGTGAAATCTACTCCCTTCGTGGTTGGAGATGTAGCACAAATTGCACCCGACAGCGACTTATCCGTAAGCTCTTGTAACCCATCGATACTGATTGGAAATGATTACTTTTGGGACCTCATACTCTCACACAATTTCTACTACAAGAACTTGTCCGAAGGGCATCGCCTCCTTCACACTACGATCGGCGACATCATCCTGAACAAAGCCCTCGATACGAGATACAACAATTGTAGCCTCGTCGCTGTCGAAAATAATGATATGGCAAATCCGGCACACCACAACGACTTATGTGAAATGGTCAGTCGATTTTGGAAACTCGAATCGATAGGGATACTGGATAACCCAAATCAATGTGAAGATACAGAGTTCCTTGATTATTTCAACAACACCATATACTATGATCGTAAAGAGAAACGTTATGTCGTCTCGCTACCTTTCAAAGAGGATCCAGCAAACGTCCCAGACAACTACTCACTAGCGTATTCCCGCCTTCGCAGTCAACTGAAGCAGTTACAGCAAAATCCGTCATACTTGAAGATGTACCATGCAGTGATTCATGACCAACTGCGAAGAAATATTATTGAATATGTACCAAACGATGAACTTTACAGGCCATGTCATTATCTATCTCATCATGGCGTTGTAAAGAGGGACGACAAAGGCCTGAAAATTCGTTGTGTATACGATGGCTCCGCGAAAATGAAGGGCCATTTGAGCCTAAACGAAGCATTGTACAGGGGACCAGTTCTCCTTCCTGATCTCGTCGGTATCCTTATCCGGAGCAGGTTGTGCAAGTATCTTATTTCTAGCGACATAGAAAAAGCATTTCTTATGGTTGGTCTAAACCGTAATTCTCGAGATTACACCCGATTTTTATGGTTGGACGATCCGACTGCATCACTCTGCCCCGAAAATATAGTCACGTATCGCTTTACGCGTGTTCCTTTCGGGCTAGTAAGCTCTCCGTTCTTGTTGGCCGGCACTATACATTTCCATCTCGCATCAACGGCAACTGATTTATCCCGTCATTTAATTCGGAACACCTACGTCGATAACGTATTCTATGGCGCCAAAAACGTCGATGATGGAATCCTTTTTTACAAAAAGACCAAAGAAATCTTCAGACTAGCTGGCATGAACTTACGAGCCTTCGCCAGTAATGCAGAAAAACTGAACGAGTATTTCGGAATGAGAGAGACAGAAGCCATTCGCAACGTGCAGAAGCTCCTAGGTTTGAAATGGGATATCATCAATGACAACCTTATCCTACCACTCCCAGAAAGAACCTCCAACAAAGATCCTTGGACGAAAAGGAAAGTTCTGAAACACATCGCTAGTATCTACGACCCTCTTGGCCTACTCTCTCCGTCAACGCTCCCCGGTAAGATCTTCCTTCAATCTCTATGGAAAGAGAAACTTTTATGGGATAAAACATTACCTTCAGAAAAGGAAGCGCAGTGGCAAGAAATCATTTCAGCATGGACGACCTCAGAGTTATTAACACCCAGACTCATCATAGACTGTGGAGAAGAAATCTCCTATGAGTACGATCTTCACGTATTCGCCGACGCATCCTCAGCCGCCTACTGTGCCGTGGCTTACATTGTGCAAAAGGCAAATGATAAACCAGTCAGAGCTTCCTTGGTGATGTCCAAGAGTCGATTAGCGCCACTCAGCCACTCCATGACTATTCCACGTTTGGAAATCACTGCTCTGATGATGGGATCGAAACTGCTCACGTATGTCACGAAAGAACTCGACATGCAAATCTCAAAAAGGTTCTTGTGGACTGACAGCCTTGTAGCACTATATTGGATCAAGAACAACAAGAACCTACCCATTTTTGTCAAAAATCGAGTCAACGTGATACTGTCTAATACCTCTGACGTATACTTATTGCACGTGCCCAGCGAACAAAATCCCGCGGATTTGGGGACCCGAGGATGTTTGCCCCAAGAACTCATGAAAAATCAAACATGGTGGCACGGACCAACCTTTCTTCTGGAAGACGAGAACACATGGCCAGAAAATGCACGCAGCGAGTTGCAGGAAGTATGTTCTGACCTTCATCAAGGAAAGCTGATACCACAAGTACACTATGTAGTGTCGACTACCCAAGTATCCAAGAACAAAAGACTCAAGAACGCTTCAGAAGTCACAAGTAATTCTTTGCTAAACGTGAATCGCTTTAGCTCCTGGACCCGCTTACTCATGACAACGATGTTCTTACTCAAGTTCATCACAACGGAGTCTAAAAAGCTGCAAATTGGTTTGGTAGTGGTAAGGTTGCACTACTACAAAAAGGCGAAATCATTCTATTTCGCCTTGCCCAGTCTTTACATCCCCCTTCCGATGAGGACAAAAACCGGCTTCATCTCTTCGTCTGTGAAAGGACTCATTTATGGAAATGTCAGGGACGTATCGAACATGCAAAGTTGCCACCAGAAACAATCACACCAATCTTCCTCCCACGTGAAAGTCGTGTCACGATGTTGTTTGTACTGCACGTCCATCAAACTCACAACCACTGTGGAGTGAATCATACACTCACACTTCTCAGAGAACGAGTATGGATCTCTAAAGGACGTACGACTGTAAAAAATATTCTCTATAACGAGTGTTTTCATTGCAAGAAAATCAGATCAAAGCCTTATGCTCTTCCACCCTTTCCGCCACATCCAGAACGAAGAGTAAATCCACCACATACCCATTCGAAAACGTCGAAATGGACTTTTTTGGTCCCATGCAGTACAGACACAACGAGGGCCTTGTCGGAAAATACTGGATGCTACTGTTCACGTGCCTAAACTGTAGAGCAATATATGTGGATGTAGTACTTGATATGACAACGACCACTGTTCTACATGTGCTGAGACGATTCATCGCGACCTACGGCTGCCCGAGATGGATCATATGTGATAATGCACAGTCTTTTAAGACCATCAATCAGTGTTACTCCTCTCTAGCGGTGCCAAACGTTGACGAGGATATAATCGACTACTGTGCTAACAACCGGATCCAGATGAAATTCATACCAAGTCTTAGTCCTTGGCAAGGAGGAATCTACGAGAAAATGATAGATATTTTCAAAAAGCATACAAACATGCTATTGCTAATCGCATGCTCGACATAGACGAAGTACGGACCGTGGCCAAAGAGGCTGAAGCGATCGTCAACACCCGACCACTCACATACTATAGCGACGAGATTTCCTTCAGACCTTTGCGCCCTATTGACTTCATCCGTCCTCACGCCCGACTTTCCAGCCTTTACCCGACCGATTGCCAAGATCAATGGTCACCAATTCACGTTACCAGGGACACTTTAATGGCTGACTGGAATCGAACCTCCAACCTGACTTCCACATTTTGGACAAGATGGAGCACTGAATATCTTACAACAATGCGCGAACAATATAAAAGTGAACATACAGCTCCCAGATCACATGAAAAGGATCCTCCAAGACTTGGAGATCTTGTATTGATTCACGATTCAACCTTGGATCGCGGACAATGGAAAATGGGAAAAATAGTGGGCTCACAAGACGAATATCAACGATCAGTTCAGATTCAACTTCCTTCTCAGCGAATCGTCACTCGCCCGAATTCTTTAATTCATAAACTAGAGATTAGTGAGAAAGAAACACCACTTATCGACAATACGAGAGCCTCATCTTCCAAAGGAACACCTCAACAACCTCATCACCCTATGATAACCCGATCGAAGGCACGAGCACAGGTGAATCTTCCACTCCTTCTTTGCCTCGTGTCGGTTACCGGAACAGCATTTGCCTCCTCTGTCGAGTGCCCAAAGGAGTTCATAACTTCCAAAACTATTCTGTACGCCACCACCTGTAAATCTAACGGAATCGCCGTAGCAAAGTACAAGGAGGATTTTTGCTACTTCTCAGTTTCATGTCCGCTTGGACACATCCGTTTCGAAATACTGTTTGCCAAGGAACCTTACTCCCCGTCATCATTGTGTGGAGCAAGATGTCAGTGTCCCGAATGGGCAACATCGTGCTCATTCCACAATGGATCCATCACAGCAAGATCCGAATTACGTCTGATACCAGAAAATCTTCTTCATTATCAACCAAGTTTTGTTTGTTCCTTTGAACCGGATAAGAACTGCGACTCGGTCAAACAGCTCGGAACATTCAATCAAATCCAACTATTCGACGACAACACCCTTCTAGTTGAGAACCTTACAGTCATTATGAAAGACTATGTGACTCAAGGTGATCTTCTCTGCATCGATCGTAAGGGATGGAAAAGACTTGCTGGTAGTGACTTTACTGGATCTTCATGGTTTTGCAAAAGACATCAATGTCGAGAACCAGCAAGTGTGTTCTGCCTGTATGACAACCCAATCGCACTCTTCATTGTCAATGGCTCAACCGAACATGACGCAATACCACTCAAAGCTTGGGGCACCATTACAAAACCTTATTATGGTTTTCCTTCTACTACAAGACCACCAGTTTCTCAAGAATCTCGAAACCTCAATGAAGAACCTGAAAAGCAAACAATCATTTCGGCAACATGTTCCAAAGGCGGAATAACTTTGTCAAAAGGCAACAACGTGGAGATGATAGAAGCCTGTATCGACCAGTACTGTATCTTCCGAGAGAACGCATACTCCTCCCAAATACCCTTTCCAAACTCGCTTATCGTGTATGACTACAAAGTCATCATTAAAGCATGGTTCCCAGAAAACATAGCTGAAGAAATACAGATCTTCTGTCCAGCACAACCAATATGCGAAACGATGCAGTGCATACTTTGCTGGGAACGACTCTACAATACTCAATGCTGGACTTACCTGCAAATAATCTTGTTTGCAATACTCCTTCTAATCCTTCCCGTCTGGATCTGTATCATTTACAGAATCATACGCTTACTACTGCGGTTGATCAGAGCCATCCTATCCAGCCTCTGCTTCGCAAACAAGTCCTACCTCTTCAGCAGATCCCGCAGGGCACCGACGTATACCAACCGCAGGAGGAAAATGTACAAATACAATCTACTCCTTTGTCTCGGTCTATACATTCGCAGATCCAGCAAAGCTGCTGCTGCTCTCAAGTTGTCTCAATTACAGCGAGCGAAAACACCTGTATTTCCACCGAAACGGGAGAACTATGCACCTTCAACGAAGCCACTCTAATCACACTCCAACCACTCCAGCAAGAATCATGCCTTGTGATCAAGGACCATCGCGACAGCGCCATCGGACTTCTGTCTGTGAAGATTCATGGCATAGACTTTCGCTGTCAGAAAGTCATTGATTTCTACACCCGCGACCATCAACTACTCACAGTGTCTGTTCATCGATGTTACCTAGCAGGAAGCTGCGTTGAGAACGCTTGTGAAACTACAGCACACAACACTAAAGTGAAAGAAATCTCTGAACTAGCTAATCAAAGACCCGGTTATACTTTCTGCGCCGCAAGCTGTGGTTGTATTGCATGTGATGGATGCTTCATGTGTCAACCTAGCTGTCTCTTCTATCGTATCTATGCGAATCCAACAACCTCTAAGATCTACAAGGTATTCAAATGTCCAAGCTGGGAAACAGCTGTCAACATCGAGCTGACATTAGAACAAGCCAACAAATCCTCCTCTACCACACTTCTATTACGCACAGGACAGACACTCCATTGGGAAAACCTGAAGTTCACCCTCGCAGGAACCACGGTACCACAACTACCTATTCTCTCGGCAACCTTCATGGAATCCGATGGAAAAATATCACTTATCTAACCCA